TGAGTCTGGCATGGAGCTGGGCATTTCACGCAGGTTTGAGTTGGGCATGGAACTGGACATTTCACGTAGGTTTGAGTCTGGCATGGAGCTGGGCACTTCACGTAGGTTTGAGTCTGGCATGGAGCTGGGCACTTCACGTAGGTTTGAGTCTGGCATGGAGCTGGACATTTCACATAGGTTTGAGTCGGGCATGGAACTGGGCATTTCACAGAGGTACTTTTGGTACTTTGTACAGCCCCCAGTCCTGAACCTTTCACACATGATGAAGGGAACTGCAGCTGCTTCTGCTGGTCACACATCTTGAGGCTTTGCAAAATCTGAAAAGAAAAGTTTCATCAGAACTAGGAAGATTTCCAGGGACAATTGCCTCATCGCCTTTGGATAGATTGGTCTGTAAGCAGTAACCTTTTGAGAAGGTCACAGGCACCCAAGGCTATACATCTGGCATTAGGGTAGACTCAGAGCCAGGGATCCTAGGCTCAACTCTTATGCCTTTACCTGGCTGTGTGACTTTGGACAAGCCACCACTCACCTCTGGCCTCAGTTTCCACAATGGAAAATGAAGGGCTTGAAAGAGTGATGTCTGTGCTTCTACCCAACTCTCTAAGCCTCCTCTCTCCTTACTCACTTCAGTGTCTGCATTGTGAATTCTCCTTCGGAAATTGTTGTTTCCCAACTGATTTCCCCTTACCACCAGTTCTCTCAAAAATGGCTTTCCTTCTTCCTGCCCAGCAAGGCAGTACTCGAGGAAGGTAAATTCATGTCAATAGACCCTGAGCCAACATGAGTCTCAAGCTGAGTCCAACAGACAAGGCCAAACTTGAGTAAATTTCTGCCGTTTGCTCTTTGGATCAGCTGGACTATCAATTCACCTCATTTACAGACCCAAGAGAGGACTGTACAACTGCACTCAGAGAGAGGGTGACCCAGTTCTCTGAAAATCCCGTCTCCCGCAGACCAAATAACTCAGAGTAATACCTCTTCCTCTCCTCTCACTCTCCAGGTTCCACGCTTCCCATCAGGTATTGCCTTCAGCCTACTTCAGTGGCTATTCTCAGCATCTAGTCCTGACCACCTTCCATCCCACGTTCTCCACGCCAACCTCACCGAGGTTCTCTTTCATGCCATGTAGTTATCCCAGGCATAGAGACTTACCCTCTTTGCTGACGGGAGCAAGACTGGAAGAAGCCAGTGATCTGAGGGACTGGCACATGGAGAGGCCTTTTATAGGGCAGCAATGAAGCAATTTAATGGCATCTGAATAAAGCATCAGAGATTACAAGGATTTGCATTGGCGAGATTCCTCTCCAGTATGCCTGGCTCTTCAGTCAGAGACAGGGCATGTCTCTGCTTGATGCTGAATTTTCCCAAACACGAGATAAATGATTGCTGGTACCATCTTCAGGAAACAAGTCAGTCTTCTTTCCCTAGAAGTTATGAGAGATGTCTGTGAGATCTGTGATGAAGCTATTTCTAGGTCACTTGAGTCTTCAATGACTTGTCCAAGATGTGGTTAGCATCTCAATTTTTCATACACTGTACCAAAAGCTACCCTGTATATTCCTAGCCTAAACAGTGTGCTCTTTCTGAGGGCTTCCATGGTGGCTCCTGCTGTTTTGGGTTTCTGGGCACAAGGAATTTGGCTAGTGGTCTCTGCCTCAATATGGCAGCAAGGGCCCCAGGAAATGGTTTTTTCCGTAGACTGGGAAGTTATTCTAATTTTATTTCTGAAACTGAGTGAGTGTTTGATGATCTTAGACCCAGGCTCTTTAACTAAGCTGTGTTTTATCACTTTCTCATGCTCTGTGAGTTCCTCCATCCTCATCTTCTCATGCTCTGTGACCTCCCCGTCCTCACCTTCCCATGCCCTTTGTGTTCCCCCATCCTCCCCTTCCTGGACTTCTCTATCAGGCCGACATCCCCAAGAACCCAGAACAGGGGAAATTCCAACCAAATGAACACTGTGTGATAACAATAATAGTAGAATCTCACATTTAATTTAATGCTTTTTGTGTGCCGTACAGTTTATGAGGCATGTACACTTACAGATGGCCCTGTAACTGAGAACCTGAAAGATTAAGGAAGTGACCCATTGTCACAAAGCAAGTAAGTAGAGAAGCTAGAATTCAAAAACAGCCAGTCTGCTTTCACAACCCATGATCTTTATCACTATAACATGTTGCCTTTTATTTCTGAACAAAGCGCTGTTCCTGAATCTCTGCCTCCTTTCCTTTCCGTAGCACAGTAGGCATAGGAAGAGAAGCAGGAATAATATGTATTGAGTACCTACTATGTCCTGAATATTACCCTCCTTCTTTACCTGTGTTATTTAATTTGATCTTCACAATAACCCTGTGAGGTAGGCTGTTAGCTCTATTTTTATAGAAGAGGAAACTAAGACCCAGCAGCCTAACTATTTTATTAAGGTCATCTCACTGGTAGGCAAAAGAGTATCATTTGAAACCAAGCCCGTCTAGTTTCAAAGCCCATACTCTTCCCACTGAGCCATGTCAGGTTGCCCAATGTAGCAGGTTATCTTGATCCTGAGTCCAGCACTGGTTCCAAGCAGTCACTCTCTCAGATCAGCCAGTCCAGCTCCCACCACAGCCTCTGTGGCTTCACAGGTAAAAGGTGCTCCAGCATTTGTCCACAAGGGATCCTCAAATTCCCCAGGACCCATAAGCCTTAAGGCTCCCAAATTACCTAAATAAAGAAAATGCAAACCTCGAATAAATAAGTAAACAAACAAACTTGCCCATGCCCACATAGCTAGAGTGATAGATCCAGAATTTGAAGCCAGGTATATGAAACTTTAAAATTTATTGTTTTTCCACCATATCCTCCTGCTTCTAGTGTAAAATCCATAATGCTTTAGGAACTACACTTTTCAACAGACATAGGCAATAAGCCCTATCTCTTATGTGTAGGATGGGACAGATCCACTTTACAGGGAAGAAAATGCCCTAGAAGGCCAGCCATTTTAGGGCATGTCAACAAGCCAGGAGAGAGAATTCAAGGCACAAATAGAACTAAACTCTTGACCTGAATCTACCAGTACCTCCAGAGTGATTCCACTGTGCCCTGCTGTCTCTAGGCCTTTCCTCTTCCACTCTAAAATAAAGAGGTTAGATGAGGCCCTCCTGGCTATGATATCCTATAATTGTAGGGGTTTGTTCTACAAAGGAAATGTATATTTCCACATCCTCACCGTCCATGGAGTTATTCCCACTAGACCATAATTTCTATGCATTGTGACTGGACACTCACTGTATATCGCCTGGCTCTAACACAGGACCTGGGACCACTGATTAGAGAAATGAATGAACAAGGGAATGAATCGGGATGCTTTACATTGACAGTACAGCCAAGACCAACCTTCTTCCTCCATGTGGTGAGAGCCCATCCTGCTATGAGTCAATATGTGCATCTTTTGCTATCTGTGAGCTCTGATTGGCTCACTTCCTGCTCTGTGGGTCAGGAGACACTAACGGGTTTGACATCTTCAGGCAGCACTAACATCCCTATTCCATGTACCACCAAAGCAGGTGGGTGGGTTGTGCCCCACCCATTTTATAGGCTAGGAAGGCAAAGCATGGAGAAGTCAGATGACTGGTATAAGTGCCAGGATGAGTCACAGGGTTATCCCCAAAGGCCCCACTTATCTCTTTGAACACAAGCCCATTGAATCAGAGATTTGTGGACTCATGCAATAAGAGCCCAGTAGACTCACAGGGTAATAGGTGGAGAGAATCATAAATTCACGGAATAACAGAATCACAGATCCAGAATCATGGCATCTCAGAGGTGGAAGGAAATAAAACATGTCCTGGGGTCTAGCCCCTGTCATAAGACAATACCTGTGTCAATACCTGTGTCATCCAGCCTAATGGGCTGTTCTTCTTAGGAAGATCTTCTAGTCTTTAAAAGCTCTCTGCAGTCCCTCTGGTTAGCTTATTTCAGGACTTACTATCTGGATAGTCAGCAACTGCACTATCTCTAAGGTCCCTTGTAGCACGAGCATCCACAAATCCTGGCATTAATTACATGGTTGAAGTTGTGCCCCTGAGTGCATGAACCAAGATTTCAACTCAGTGGCTGCCCCCAACCCCGACCAGGAGATCAGAGGGGGAAGAACTCAAGTTGGCATGTTGCTCCCTGAGGGCAGGACCTGGGTCTCCCTTCATCCTGGGAGATTTCATTGATCATGGACTGGGGGACGCTCTCAGGGAAAAAATCTGTGGAATCTGCGGGAAAGAAGTGGGAGTAAGCAAGAAGCCATAGACCCAGGAGACAGAGCACATGGGAACTATGGTATCCAGTGAGAAATCTCACTTCTGCATCTGAGAACATAGTTCAGAGACCCCCTCCCCTAGAGCCCATGTCTGTGTGCATCTCTGTCCCAGGCTCAGCTCTGAGACTTGTGCCAGAGATCCCCTGAACCATTATTCCAATGACAATTTGGAGTTCCTCCTAGATTATCAGGAGATTATATTGTAGAACCACAGAACAGAGGGCTGGTGAGGACTGTTACAAGCATAGAGTTCAGCCTCTGTATCTGAAGCCTAAGAGAAGGAAAGAAACTTGCTCAAATCCACAGAGCCAGGTAGGAGCAGACTCTAGGCAGGAATTTCTGAATCTCATCCAGGGCACTTTCCATTACAACATGTGGCAACTGAATAAGCTTGCTAGGGAGCCCCTTCACCTGACCTCATCCTTGCCTCCTTCCCTACCTCCCAACCTCACCAAGACAATCACAAGAGGAGCCAAAGAAAGTCCTCTAAGGGGCATCCTCTACGGAGCAGAGAACGTTTCCTATATTCAGGGGAGGATCACACAGGACTCCCACTGTGTACACATGTGGGTCATCGAAGCATGAAATCCCCAGCCCCACCTGGCTCAGAGTCCCATGGGCTGTGTCTGGGCCAGGGACACAGGGCAAGACAGCACCAGAGCCCTCTTGGTTGCAGAGGCCAGAGAACAATGGTGCCCAAATATTCCTCCTTCTCCTGGAACAGCCCACTGGGGCTGGTTTCCTTGAACCTCTGCCAGCCCTTCCCTAATCCATTTATTCTCTTATAAAACGCACGAGGTAACTAGTTCCTCATGTTTACCTACCACTTTGTAGAGCTATTTAATTGTACCTGGTCTTAACAAGCACCTCCTGAAATTTTTAATAGAAATTGCCTCATCTTTGCATTCCAGGATACAAAGGGATACAGGGAAGTTCCATGTTCCCCTAACATATTCCTGAAGATAGAATCCACTGGATCATATTCCCTCTTGGACCTCTCTCTCCCAACCATTCCATCCATCCATCCAGTGCAATTATCACGTTTTGTCTTATATTCCAACTCCTCCAAGACCTCCACACAAAGACCCAGCTGCAGTCCTATGAATTTTCCTGTCAGAGAGTATCTCATTCTCACCACAGCTCTGCCAATTCCTAGTGTCTGAGCTTAGGTAATTTGCTGGACTTTCTGAATCACAGTCTCCTCATCTGTAAAATGGAGACATTAGTAGTCAGATCATGTCACTCTTCTGCTGAAAACATTCTAACAACTTCTCATTCTGTTTATGGTAAAAGCCAAGTCCTCACAATTGCTTTCAAAGGGATACACAGACTCACCCTCATGACCCCACACCTACTTCCCTGGCTGCATGTCCCACATTCCCCCCTCACTACACCCCTGCCACACTGGCCTCTTGGCAGCTCATCTGACACTCCAGGCACATTCTTGCTTCAGGAAACTTTGCTCTTGCTTTTTTCTCTACCCAAACTGTTCTTCTGCCAGATGCCCATGTGGCTAACCTGCTCACCTCCTTCAAGTCTTTGTTCAAATATGACCTCAGGGAGGCCTTTGCTGATTACCCTGTTTAAAATTATAACCCATACACACTGACACTCCCTGTCCCTTTTCCAAGCTTTATTTTTCTCCATAGGGTTTGTAACCACCCAACACATTACATATTTTATGTATGTACGTGTTTTCCATTTTCTCCCATCAGAATGTCAACTCTGTCAGGTAAGAACCTCATCTCTTGTTCACTGCTCTATTCACAGTGCCTTCCTCAGATGCTTGGCACACTCAAAGCATACTTGTTGGATGAGAAAATAGTGTATTTTTTCTTATTCATTTTGTTTTTCATCCGTCTTCCTTATTGGAATGAGTTCAATGAGGGAGAAATGTTTATC